ATGCATTTAGAACCGATCGGTTCAGGTCCAGTTTTTGTGGTATTTTAAATTTTTCTTATAGGATATTATTTTATTGCTTTGTGTAATGCCTTTTGAAAAAGAGAATTTAATGAAATGTTATCTCAATTATGTGTTCAAATTGAGTAGTTTTAATGAATCATCAAGTGCTTGATTCTTAAGTTTCTGACATTAATGAGTGAATCAACATAAATTATAAAGCTCGTAAATTTTATATTCTTACACTTCTTCACCTACTAGTTTACATTATAAACATGTACTTAAATGCTACAATGCGCCTAGGCGCGCATTAGCGATCGGCAATGTCGTTGACCGCTAAATAAGACACCAAGTCACTTGACTTGGCGTTTTGGCCTCGCATCACGTCATGGCGCACCTTTTAGAACACTGGGTAATACCAGATTTATTTGTGAAAAAAACATGTTTTAAATTTATGGGGGCTTTATTTGTTGATTTCGCAATCGATTGGATTGTTGTCAATAATATAATTTCAACAAAATTTTGATCTAAGATTCCGTCCATCTTTATAATTTATTTATGTTTTTCAAAATTGTTGTTTCTTGATGGTAATCTTGCTCGTGCTCAAATATTATTCTTCTTATCCTTCCAGTAATTCTTGAATTTTTGTTACTCTTGTAAGAAGAAATTGGAAGGAAAAGGTGAATTTTTGTTACTCTTGAATTTTTGATTTTGCCTCAGGTGATTGTGGTGGCGGATGGCTGAGGATGGATGGATGGATTTGGTTGTTGTGATGTGACTGTGTGGCCCAGCGACGCAACGTTGATTGCCCAATAGTGGATGAGTGGATTTGGATTTGGATTTGGATTTGGATTTGGATCAGGGTGGGGAAAATGGTAAATTCTTTTCTTTTTTCTTGGTTTCTTTATTTAATTATTTTATATGAAAAATGTAAATTGACCATTTTACCCTTTAAAAATTAATCAAAATTTGTGTTGACCATTAACTTTTGGTCAACTAACAAATGAATTAATGGATTTTGTCATATTAGACTACAAATGCTAATTTTTAAAAGCTTTCATATCGTGGGTGACATAAATGAAAGATTTGGGCAAAATTCGCTACTAAATGAAATGTTTGGTACCGCTACTGCAATTATTCCTAAATTAAAACCTAAATTTTAATCTAAATATAAGTTAACAATTAATTTTAACCACATATTTTAAAGGATTCGCTAATTTTCAAACTCACATTTCATCCATTTTTTTATCAAAATCTACTAAATTTTGATTTTAATCCCATCAAACAGTGGCTTAGAGTATTCCAATAGTACCTTTTTAACTTTTATTTAATTGGTTGACGTGTACGTTAAAACACTTATCGAATGATTAGTTGAACTTTGATATCCACGTTATCCTTCAATAAACCTTTTAAAGCAGATGCGTTCACGGAAATATTTGTTTCCCTTAAAATATCGTAAGTGCACGATTCGTTAATAAAATGAATTTTGAGTTCAAGTATCGTATTCACAGATATTGTATTAATTTAAATTCGAATTTACTTAGCCTTAGTCGAAACAATTAAAATTTGTGATTTTTCTAGGAATAAATTGTCATTGATTACTATAATTAAGAATGCAATACCTGTTTAATTAAAATCAATGCAAAGATTATAATTAAATGCAAGTTTTATAAAATATATGAATATCAATATTCCTAATTTGTTTAACAATTTCTCTCGAATAGAATTAAACATATATTTATATGTGACCCGATTATATTTTCATGACGGATGTGAACATATAAAAATGTATTAAAGATTTATAAATATTTAAAGATCACATAAAGAATAACAGCATATTTTTATCTCCTATTTAATTATACGACAATTAACACTAAATTTAACTTATTTTCCAACTTTCTAATATAAAATAAGCCACAAAACTCATACAATTAGTGATCAAGTAATTGTAGATAAAAATATATTCATGTCAATCATTCAAGAATTGAAAACGTGCTTTGAATGTGAAAAATAGATAAAATCCAGAGTTAAAAGTTCATAAACCAAAAAAGTGGAACAACATCACTCAGAAATTGACGGAATGTGATTCATTTTTCCAAATTCCTCCTACTATTATTGATGATTAATCGCACAAAAAAATTTGGAATGACTCCTTTTCTCTATTTGCTGCCGTCTCGTGTCTGCCATGCGTGTGTCTTCCAATTTCCGGATCAGCCCACTGTTTTAGTCCAATTAGGATTCCAAATCCTTTTCTTCTCTTCTTTTTTCAGCCGGCAGTCCCTCTCTCTGTCTCTGTATGCATGTGTATTGAATTCTTATTAATCCAATTTCTGGCCAGCCTCTCTCTCTCCAATTCTGCCCGTCTGCCTGTGTATAATCTTTTTCTTTTTATAATTGTAATCTCCGGCTTTTTCTTTTCCAGTTAGGGCTTTTCCAACTTTTCTTCCACCGTCTTTCTGGCGGCAGCTTTAATAATCCAAAGGATGCCCAATTCCGCTTGGATTCTATTTCTATAATTCATTATTTTTCTTCAACCCCTTCAATTTCTCTTTATGTGAATATTAGTCTTCAAACTTCTATCCAATGGCCAATTTGTCCTTCAATCTTTTCCAATTGCTTCAAACGAGTCCATAACTAAAAATAAAAGAAAACTAACCCAACTAGAATTTAACACTTGGATGGTGTAAAAATTTAATAATTTGGCTCGAATAAATGCACAAAACGCACTTATCACTTGTAAGATTTAGTTATGATTCACGTACACACTAAATGTTTGTACAGTTAGTGATAAGAGGTTTTGATTGTGTTTTCAAGATGATAGTTGAGCGTGAACATTAATCTACTTTATTCGATTCGATATCTTTTCTTGAAATCTGTACTCGAATTCATATGCTCAAAGAAAAGCAAGTCTTCAAGCATAAAGACACAATAATTACTGATAAAAAAAGTTTTCTACATATTCAACAGAAAAATAAGAACTGAAAGAGAAAAGTTCTCCTTAGAGTCAATAAAAAAAAAATTTGGAATGCTTCTAAAATTTGTGAATGCAAATATTTCGAATTGATTTGATGATTGTGTGTTGTGATTATATTGTTCGATAGATTTTATTCATGATATCATGCGAAAATACCACTAGCATGCTACATTCTAGGAGTGGTTATTATCTTTTTCTATTTGGGGAACACCATCTTTCGCTCCTAATAAACTAAATAGCAAAATAAACACTCTTAATTTTAATGGAAATGAAAAACTTCATGAGGAATGAAGTTGGTACTACCCAATTAGGGAAATGCGATCACAAAATGGGTTTTTATGAGTCCATGAAAATTCTATATGTTTAGTGTGGTCTTATTTTCTATGTACAACTATGAACGAATTATAGTAATGTTATCTAATGATTTCTTACTACGTCAAATTAGTGCTAATTCACATCAAACTATATATATATATATTTTTTTTAATTAAATTGTCCTGGAACAATTTTTTAGTCTTAATTTCATAATATTTAAAATTTATTTGTTTAATTCTTAAAATATGACACATATAATAAAATATATGAAATTCCATAATTCCTCATTTATTTCATTTCTAAATATAATATGGTGCATTGACAATTGAAAAAAAAATAGGGAGAAAAAACATGTCATATTAACCATTTCTACCACCTCCTTTACCACTTGCTTTACAGATGAATGATGTGGCAAATAGTTGATGGTTAGATTAAATGTGTGAAATGTGATATCAAATTGTGTCAAGTGTAAATTTTATAAATCAGGATGTAAAGATTGGTGTACATGCAGGAGCGAAGCTACAAGAAAATAATCTTAGGGGCAAATTTCATAAAATTTTAATTGTGGGGGAAAAATCCAGAAAGGGTAATCAGCACGTAACGTCCCCATCTTTCATTGTTATCGTGGAAAACATCCATACCTTTCTTTTTTTTTTTTTTTTTTTTTTTTTGCATTTTCAACCATATTTTCATTTTTTAGTACGTAAAAGTTTATTTTCACCTATCTTCTCAATTAAAAATTATGAAATGACAAATATACC